AGGAGTTGCTCGATTTGAGCAGCCTGCCTTGCGAGGGTGGAATCCTTGGCAGCTACGTCCTTCTTAGCACTGGCGAGGGCCCCCTCCGCTTCTTCCTTCTGCTCTCGGACCCGCTGGAGGTTCATCCTAGCCCCATGATACCGCGCCGCTATTATGGAGATCTGTTGGATGGCCTGCAAAGGAAAAAGGCACGTCACTAAAAAGAAAAACGACTAAAAAAAAAAAAAACTGTAGCAAAGATGGAACTTACCACCAGGCAATTATGGATGATAGAGCGAAACAACATGTTCGTTGATCGCCCCCTGTGAGCCACCATGTCGGCCTCGAAATGCAGCGCCTCACTCACTGCATTGGCGACATGGGGGTCCTGCAAAATGGAGTCGTCGACCCTGATCACTCGGTTCATGTGATCAATGGCTCGAGGATTCCACTTCGCGGCTTCCACTGTCGGCGGAGGGGGAGGAGGAGTTTGCTGTTGCCGTTGTTGCTGTTATTGCTGCTGTTGTTGTTGTTGCTGAGGAGCAGGAGGTAACCCACGGTCTCTCCCACTTTGCTGCTGAGCGGAGGGTGCCCTGGATCCCCTGCCAAGGCCATCGTGTCTATGTTTGACCCTTCTCTCCTCCTCTACCTGAGGATCCCGGTCACGCACTTGCCCCCGACTGATGACTCTTGAGGATGGGGTGGTGCTGGTCCCTGCAGATAGGGCCCCACCGGCCGATCCTCGTCCTCTCCCGACAGCAAGGGCTTGCCTCTGCCTCTGGAACCCCAGATCAATGCGAGGCGTGCTGGACATGGCTATCTCGAGGGCATCTTCGGCGTTTAGAGATTGTAAAATTTGGAAGTCTGGCCACGAATCTCTCCTTGAAGTCCCCACCTCGGCGGGCGAAGGAACCAAGTCCTCTCTGACCCCGAACGCTTCAACTTCACCCTCTACTTCTGCTTCCGAAGCTCGGTCAGGGTCTTCCTCCAAATTCTCCTCGCCCTCTTGTCCCACCGCCTGATCAAAGAGTTCAGACCACCGCGAAAGCTCGAAAGGCTGGGGAAGCTGTGAAAACTTCTTATATCCGGAAATGTAATTCAGGAGGATGTGGGCAGCCCCGCCGAACCCGTCGTCGCCAGTAAATCTCCAAATTTTGACTATGTCGGCAAAGTTCATCAACGACCGAGGGGGAGGAGCTGTTTCCCGAGCAGGGACGTCTGCACAAACAAAAAAGGAGTCAAGAACATAGAAAATCTCAAGAACAAAATAATAGACCCGAAGGAACCGACGTACTTGTCGTTCTCCATTCCAAAGGGCATAACAAGCCGTTGTACTTGGGACCGACACCTCTCTGCCAAGATCCCTTGAAGATAAGTATGTCATCCTTGTACCCCTTGTCCGAGTCGGGAAGGTGAGTTACGAGTTACATAGATGGGTCCCTGGCTTTGAGGTAGAAGTGTTGTTGAGGCATGACTCTCAAGAGGGAATAGCAAAAAAGGATATCATTCAGTCCAACATTCACCCCGAGACGCCTATTAAGCTCTAGGACCCCCATAATTATCCTGAAGACATTAAAGCAACACTGCCCGGGAAAAAGGTGGAAATGAGAGAGGAACTGGAGAAGCAAATGGGACAAAGGGAATCTAATTCCGCCTTCTATGATGACTTTGGTATAAAAGGGCATTACACCATCGGTACCAAGGGCACGAGGGTGCACAGCCGGGTCATAATCCTCTATGTCTACATACTGTGGGATGCTGTACTTGACCTTAAACCTATTAATTTGCTCGCCACCCTTTACTTTATATTTCTCTGATCCCGAAGAACTGGCCTGAGGATTCTCGGGGGCAGGGCGACGACGAGGCATCTCGAAGAAGGTGAGAAAAAGTGGAAGATGTTTTTCCCTTAAAGGTCCCAAAGGAAGCTTCCTGAGGATTGGTCGCTAAGTGGCAACCAGAGGCACTTCCAGTTATCGAAAAACCAAAAGGGACAGAAGGACGAAGAAAAGAAAGATACTGGGACTCACCAGAATGTAAAAAGAAGTTTTTCTGGAAGATTTGAAGCGACTCATTCCAGAATGTTTCAGAAGCAAGGATGGGTCTGCTGGCCTTAAAACTCCGGTGAAATGGTTGGATAGTTGACAACGGAAGGAAAGGGATCTCCGGCGNGTTTTTTCTGGGAAATTTGAAGCGACTCATTCCAGAATGTTTCAGAAGCAAGGATGGGTCTGCTGGCCTTAAAACTCCGGTGAAATGGTTGGATAGTTGACAACGGAAGGAAAGGGATCTCCGGCGAAGTCTCCGGCGAGGGCTTTGTGAAGAAATGTTCAGAACGATGAAATGAGAAAAGAAGAGAGGAAGCCCATTTATATATAGCACCTATCCCATCATTGGGGGCGAAGCACGAAAAGGCGCATTTAATGCGCACGACGTCCTAAGCAGGGAAAAACGGCTAGAAGCAACGATGAAGCAGTTGGGGTTGTTGTAAAACCCTTCGTCTCCTTACGACGCGTGTCCTCGGTGTCAGAAGATCAAAGGCTGGGGGGCAGTTGATGGGACATTTCTGAAATACTCCGAGATGAAGACACGTGTCCTCGGTGTCATTGATCCTTGTTACCGAGATCACGTACCCATCGGGTCACAAGTCCCCTCTCCCCCGAGGTACTGATCATGGGGATCGAGTGGCATCCAGTACGTTTTTATGTACCGACACGTACCCTCGGTCTGATATGGTACATCAGTCGCTAGGCCTCCCCCTCTCGGCTTCAAGATGTACTTATTCCTCGGCTCTGAGATGTACCTATTCCTCGGTACCGAGATGTACCCCCCTCATCCAGGATGTCGTTCTCTGCTCCAGCAGAAGATATTGATGCACTGGTCACTAGCCTAAACTAGGCTAGGTTAGCTATAATGATCTCGTCTTACACAATTGGTGTCAGAAGGCACAGGAAGACAGGGGCCACAGCCAATGGGGAATGGACGTGTGACATATTGTGTCACATCAGAGACAGAAAGACCGCATGACCTTGCTGACACGCGACTTGGGAAAACAAGCATTTAATTACACCATTCCTTTGATGAGACTGCATTCAATGCGGTAAGGCTTGGAAGTGAAAGACAATAAATGTCTCTAAGACTGAACATTTATTGCATCCTCCCCGAGAGGAGCTCATTGAACCGTCGACAGGCCGATGACACAGTCTTGATTGCTCGGGGTTCTGAGCAGTTAAAAGAAAAGACATTCCTCATAGGAATTAGTGCGCACGTTGCCTGTATCTAATGATCACCTACTGACCACACTGACAGCAATCATGAGTATTTGAGGTATAAATACTCCTCACTAAAGGCAAGGGAAAGGAGGTAAAACTTTTGCTACAAATGATACTCAGTGTTTTCTTCTTTCTCTCTCTTAAAAACTGACTTGATCGTAGGAGGGGATACGCCGAAAAACACTCCGGCGCCCTTCTAACTTGTTCTCACAGGCTGTTCCAAGCAGCATGGTTGACCACTCAACTGACTCACTCGAGTTTACCAAGGGAGAGATCTGTTCTCGTTTTTATATTGTGCAAGATCTAGCACGCACAATGTAATACATTTCCGTGCCTAAACTTTTCCGTGGTCCGTGGGTTAGTGTATTCCAGTAGATTAGAAATTTCAATTTGAATGACCAATGTTGTTAGTCTGGAGTCACCAAAATGTTCAAAATACTCGGCGCATGACATTAACTTAGACACTTGAGAGACATTGCGTGACTCAGTTCTAGACATGTTAATCATGTCGGATGAATAGGTTGATATCAAGTTTTAACAGTTTTATGTCAAAAAATGTTCCACCCATATTTAATTTGTTTATTGATTCGTGTTTAACAAATTGTATCATATTGAGTTTGTGTTCTATATGAATTGTGTATAACCGATAAAAATGAGTGGTATCGTGTATTTGTTTTAATTAACTTTACCCATACCCAATATGTTGTTTATTAATCATGTCGTGTCGAGTTTATTTATTTATGAAATGAGTGATTTAAGAAAAACTTAAGTCCTCTAATTTCGTGTCGTGTTAATGGATCATGTCATATTTTGACACTCATATATATTTTTTTATCTTAAGAGATACTAAGTCAATGCCAGTCAAATAGTATTNTGACATTAACTTAGACACTTGAGAGACATTGCGTGACTCAGTTCTAGACATGTTAATCATGTCGGATGAATAGGTTGATATCAAGTTTTAACAGTTTTATGTCAAAAAATGTTCCACCCATATTTAATTTGTTTATTGATTCGTGTTTAACAAATTGTATCATATTGAGTTTGTGTTCTATATGAATTGTGTATAACCGATAAAAATGAGTGGTATCGTGTATTTGTTTTAATTAACTTTACCCATACCTAATATGTTGTTTATTAATCATGTCGTGTCGAGTTTATTTATTTATGAAATGAGTGACTTAAGAAAGACTTAAGTCCTCTAATTTCGTATCGTGTTAATGGGTCGTGTCATATTTTGACACTCATATATATTTTTTTATCATAAGAGATACTAAGTCAATGCCAGTCAAATAGTATCACTAGCTCATGATAAATTAGCAAATGAGTGAATGAATTCTATATAAAATTATAATTAACTCATTTGTTTAATCTATTAACTACCACTCGTGAGTTACTGTAATTTGTTTCATTAATTTATTATTAAATAAGAATATCATGAGATAACCATGTAATTTCACCATTATATAAAATATTTTCTCGCCGGCCAGGCCTTCACTTTTCCGTGGCCCGTGGGTTGGTGCATTCCAATAAACTAGACCAATACAACTCTCGAGTCTCCGTATCATTTCAATGATATCAAGTCAAGAGAATGAGACGCATAACACCACAAATTTTTTATTGCATACGTTGACTGACTCACCGTAAGTCTTGGTCAAGCTAAAAACTGAAGAAGACTAGTTAGTATACTTATAAAATTCTTTGGTTTTGATCATCATATTATATAGGTAGGCATGTGTATGCACATTGCAGCAAACAGACTTGATTGATCTTTCTCTCATAGAAATGAAGTTACATATTGATTCTCCTTCTGCAGCAACAGTTGTACTAATATGGGTGGCTGCTGCTAGTATTACTCTTTTAATGGCCACATCTACTGTATCATCCTCATCGTCGTTGTGGTTGTCGACAGCAGAGGGAGAGGCTCTATTCAACACCGGCTGGTGGGGGGACACTAGTAAAACAGATCACTGCGACTGGTACGGTGTCCTTTGCAGTGGGCTAGGATTTGTCATTAAGATAGAAATTTTATATGGTTCGTTCAATGGACGAGAAGAAAATGTGCTCAGGGATTTGAAAACTTTGAACTTATCTTCCTTTCCACATCTTGAATATCTCGATCTCACCTCTACCAGTCTCCANGAAATGTGCTCAGGGATTTGAAAAGTTTGAACTTGTCTTCCTTTCCACATCTTGAATATCTCGATCTCACCAACACCAGTCTCCGTGGAAGCTTACCCACCCAAATTGGTTCACTTACAAAACTCACCCACCTTCATCTCCCTGGCAATTATCTTACAGGTGAGATACCTCTATCCTTGGCTAACCTCACTCAATTGGTCGAGCTTGACCTGTCATACAATCATATTAGTGGCCCAATCCCATCATCTGTAGGTCATTTGACCAATCTTGCATTTCTTCGCCTCTCTTCAAATCAAATCAATGGCTTCATTCCTCTAGAACTATGTCATTTACAGAGTTTGGTTCTCATGGATCTACGTAATAACAGCTTACTCGGACAAATGCCTTTTTGTTTGGGGAATTTAACTAATCTGTCCTTTTTGATTCTGAGTTATAACAATCTCAGTGGCCAAATTCCTTCGTCTATAGCTAATTTGACTGAACTCGACTCTTTGTGCCTTGGTTCGAATCATATCAACGGTTCCATACCAGCCAACATTGGTAGGTTGAAGAAACTAAGCTATCTTAACCTATTTAGAAATCTATTTGACCAAGTGATCCCACTAGAAATGGGGAAACTCACGAATTTGGTGGTTTTGGACCTCCATCACAACTATTTTTCTGGTCAAATTCCTTCATTTATAGGTAATTTGTCAAGCCTTAGAACTATCGATTTGTCGACAAATAGAATCAATGGCTCAATACCTCTTGAACTTGGCTATCTACCCCGCCTTGAACACTTAGACCTCTCTCAGAATATGTTGAATGGGTCTATCCCAAACGACCTATACAAATGCTATAATTTGAGCTACTTTGCAGCGAGCAGCAATTATTTGAGTGGAAGTATACCTGCTAAACTTGCACGCTCTTTGTCAGGACTATCCTACTTGAATCTGTCCCACACTAATCTTTATGGCACAATTGATTTTCCATGTTGCTCATGCTCGCTTGATTTGTCAAACACCGGTGTGGTGTCTAACTCAACTTGTAAACTATTCAACAAGAAACCATCCTCACACTTCCTAGCCATTTTTCTTCCAATTACCATTTTCATTGCCTTCGTGTTACTTGGATTTATTTACTTTCGTCGAAAAATGCCCAAAAAAAATCCAAGTGAGCCAAGGGCAATGAAGAATGGTGACATGTGCTCGATATGGAATTACGATGGAACCATTGCATATGAGGACATCATCAAAGCAACAAATGACTTCGACATTGGATATTGCATTGGAACTGGCGGATATGGCAGCGTTTACAAAGCCCAGTTGCCCAACGGCCATGTATTTGCCTTGAAAAAACTTCATCGCCGGGAAGCCGAGGAGCCAGCTTTCGACAAGAGTTTCAGAAATGAGGTACAAGTGCTAACAAATCTACGACATAGAAACATTGTGAAGCTCTACGGGTTTTGCTTACACAATCGTTGTATGTTCTTGGTTTATGAATATATGGAAAAGGGAAGCTTATTCTGTGCTCTACGATATGATGACGAAGCTATAGAATTGAGTTGGGCTGCAAGGGTGAATATTGTCAAGGGCTCCGCACATGCCTTATCTTATATGCATCATGATTGCACCACACCGATTGTTCATCGAGACATATCAAGCAACAACATTCTATTAAATTCAAAACTGGAGGCTTTTGTCTCTGATTTTGGCACTGCTAGACTGTTAAATCCACATTCTTCCAATCAAACTATAGTTGCAGGCACTGTTGGATATATTGCTCCAGGTAAATTGTTATTGTTTTACAAGTGATGACATGTTTGGATGCATTGTTAGATATGTTGCTTCAGGTAAATTGTTATTATTTTACAAGTCACATGTCTTACTTTTTTTTAAACACAAAATTAGAGCTTATCTTTCTAGTCTGATATAATAACACAAGACCAAGAATATCCAAAGGTTTGTACAACAAGAGCACCCACCAACCTATTTCATTCGATGTTCTAGGGCAAGATCATGCTTAATTCGACCAACTTTTGAAAATAAGAAGGCAAGTTTGTATATGCTTTGCATTAATAAAAATAACATATCAAAATGACATTTGTATCCTTACACATTTACTTTGTCTCTCTCTCTCTCTCTAAAATACTTCAATCTTTTTTTTTCTTTCTTTCTTTCTACGCATTAATTAGATTTTTTCAACTTGTTGAAAATTTTTAGCAAAAAGACTAATTTTCTTTTTATACTAAATTGTTAATTTGTTAGCTATTGCACTTTAGGACTATAGTTAGAAAGTGAAGTTTAGGACCCTAAAATATAGGAAAGGTAAAGTAGTTTCTTTAATATCGAGGATGTATCTGTGAAGGAGTTTCTACCGTTATCATCTCAAGAAAATGATTATAAACTTTTTAAATTGATTTTAGTCATCTTGGTTACTGATGCAGAGCTCGCTTACACCATGGTGGTGACTGAAAAAAGTGATGTCTACAGCTTTGGGGTCCTGGCATTGGAAACAATCATGGGAAGGCATCCAGGAGAGCTACTCTCAACACTATCGTCTTCGTCTTCGTCCTCGTCCCCGTCCCCGTCTGCCCAACAGATAATGCTAAATGATGTGTTGGACCCCCGCCTCTCACCACCAGCAGATCCAATGGTTGCACAGGATATTTTGCTTGTTGCTACGTTGGCTTTTCAATGCTTGCATTCTGAACCGAAAGCCCGTCCAACAATGCAGAGAATATCTCAAGAATTTCTTTCTCACAAGAGACTGCTAGCCAAACCTCTGCGTATGGTTTCTCTATGGCAGCTAAGGAATTCAGAGACAAAATTTCCAAATTGAATTGAATTATTATGTAGTATAGTTATGTACATGTATTCGAATAATTTTCTTCTAATGCTATATGATGAGACTAGTATGAAAAATAAAATACGGAGTAAATTTATCAAAAGATTTTTTGTGAGTAACTAATTTATAAAAAGTTGGTTACCAAATGTGTAGATGATTAGATTAGTGAGTCTCTTTCCGTAAAAAGTTAATAGAACCCACTGAACTAACGGTCCAAATTAGTGTAGTAGTATCCATTAAAAAAAAGTCTGCCTTAATACATAGAGAATTAAGAGGAGCCAAACTCCCTTGAATGATCATAGGATCATAATAAACAATCTTATATGTTCTTGAATCAAATTTCTAAAACTTACAGGGGGGGTGTATGGATAAGGGGACAAAGAGGAATAAAATAGGTTAGATTGAACAAAATTGAGCTTGGTCCCCTTTAACCCATATTTGAGAAGCAAAAATGGTGTTAAGATATTTTATTGGGGCGCAATTTGAAGAAGAGTTTTCTCTTAATCCATCTAAGCGGTAAGTTAAATTTGGGGCCAATGGGATTTATTGGCTAAAAACTATCGTAACTTTTACTTTTCAAAAAAATTGGATTATTTGTGGGATACAATGGTATAAATTCAAATAAAAAAGATTTTAAATCATGAGATAATCCATGGGTGTCACATAAATTTAAAAGTATTTGTCACATATGAGACGTAATTTTGACCTACGTTGTTGACTTAATTCATTATAATTATAGGTTTAACAATTGACAACTTCTAGAATTTGTTGTTCATCCAATGATTACAAGAATTGAGTCATTAAATTAAATTAGCAAATTGAGTACAAACAATATTACTCTTTTTCCCATAGACTAAATTGAAGCAAAATAGTTGAGATATATTATAACTAGAATGATCTAAAAGCATAAATGATCGTGACAATTTTCCAACGATACAACGAAGATGAAGACTTCTATCTTTCAAGTCCACCATTGGCCGTGGCAGGTGACAACGACGAAGACTTCTATCTTTCCCTTCCCTTCAAAGACTTTCTAATATATTTTTCGTATATTTATTGACCTACACACGGCATTTGGGCACCGGACTGGACTATTTGATGGGATATCCCGCATTCATTTTGACACCATTTGACTCTACTATTACAGTTAGAAAAGGATTACTACGCGAAACGAAACTCATCAGAGGTGTGGCATTATTAGATATGTGTGACACTGTTTTCGGGAAGATGTATGCCACTTTTGATAATACATATATCTCCATTTAATAATAAATTAGTATATAANTCTCTCTCTCTCTCTCTAAAATACTTCAATCTTTTTTTTTCTTTCTTTCTTTCTACGCATTAATTAGATTTTTTCAACTTGTTGAAAATTTTTAGCAAAAAGACTAATTTTCTTTTTATACTAAATTGTTAATTTGTTAGCTATTGCACTTTAGGACTATAGTTAGAAAGTGAAGTTTAGGACCCTAAAATATAGGAAAGGTAAAGTAGTTTCTTTAATATCGAGGATGTATCTGTGAAGGAGTTTCTACCGTTATCATCTCAAGAAAATGATTATAAACTTTTTAAATTGATTTTAGTCATCTTGGTTACTGATGCAGAGCTCGCTTACACCATGGTGGTGACTGAAAAAAGTGATGTCTACAGCTTTGGGGTCCTGGCATTGGAAACAATCATGGGAAGGCATCCAGGAGAGCTACTCTCAACACTATCGTCTTCGTCTTCGTCCTTGTCCCCGTCCCCGTCTGCCCAACATATAATGCTAAATGATGTGTTGGACCCCCGCCTCTCACCACCAGCAGATCCAATGGTTGCACAGGATATTTTGCTTGTTGCTACGTTGGCTTTTCAATGCTTGCATTCTGAACCGAAAGCCCGTCCAACAATGCAGAGAATATCTCAAGAATTTCTTTCTCACAAGAGACTGCTAGCCAAACCTCTGCGTATGGTTTCTCTATGGCAGCTAAGGAATTCAGAGACAAAATTTCCAAATTGAATTGAATTATTATGTAGTATAGTTATGTACATGTATTCGAATAATTTTCTTCTAATGCTATATGATGAGACTAGTATGAAAAATAAAATACGGAGTAAATTTATCAAAAGATTTTTTGTGAGTAACTAATTTATAAAAAGTTGGTTACCAAATGTGTAGATGATTGGATTAGTGAGTCTCTTTCCGTAAAAAGTTAATAGAACCCACTGAACTAACGGTCCAAATTAGTGTAGTAGTATCCATTAAAAAAAAGTCTGCCTTAATACATAGAGAATTAAGAGGAGCCAAACTCCCTTGAATGATCATAGGATCATAATAAACAATCTTATATGTTCTTGAATCAAATTTCTAAAACTTACAGGGGGGGTGTATGGATAAGGGGACAAAGAGGAATAAAATAGGTTAGATTGAACAAAATTGAGCTTGGTCCCCTTTAACCCATATTTGAGAAGCAAAAATGGTGTTAAGATATTTTATTGGGGCGCAATTTGAAGAAGAGTTTTCTCTTAATCCATCTAAGCGGTAAGTTAAATTTGGGGCCAATGGGATTTCTTGGCTAAAAACTATCGTACCTTTTACTTTTAAAAAAATTGGATTATTTGTGGGATACAATGGTATAAATTCAAATAAAAAAGATTTTAAATCATGGGATAATCCATGGGTGTCACATAAATTTAAAAGTATTTGTCACATAGGAGACGTAATTTTGACCTACATTGTTGACTTAATTCATTATAGTTATAGGTTTAACAATTGACAACTTCTAGAATTTGTTGTTCATCCAATGATTACAAGAATTGAGTCATTAAATTAAATTAGCAAATTTAGTACAAACAATATTACTCTTTTTCCCACAGACTAAATTGAAGCAAAATAGTTGAGATATATTATAACTAGAATGATCTAAAAGCATAAATGATCGTTACAATTTTCCAACGATACGACGAAGATGAAGACTTCTATCTTTCAAGTCCACCATTGGCCGTGGCAGGTGACAACGACGAAGACTTCTATCATTCCCTTCCCTTCCCTGCAAAGACTTTCTAATATATTTTTCGTATATTTATTGACCTACACACGGCATTTGGGCACCGGACTGGACTATTTGATGGGATATCCCGCATTCATTTTGACACCATTTGACTCTACTATTACAGTTAGAAAAGGATTACTACGCGAAACGAAACTCATCAGAGGTGTGGCATTATTAGATATGTGTGACACTGTTTTCGGGAAGATGTATGCCACTTGATAATACATATATCTCCATTTAATAATAAATTAGTATATAACAGTGTAAACCTTAATGAACAATAAGTAGTCCATTGATGTAATTTAACCATTAACGCATATAAATTAGTGTAGTTCAATTTATCTGTTTATTATTGATTGAGATATCACGTGACAATCTTCCCGCCACGCCTAAACTTTTGTCGTGGTCTTTGGGTTAGTGTATTCCAGTAGTCGGGAAATTATACCATGACCAATTTTCAGTTCTNTTGTTGACTTAATTCATTATAATTATAGGTTTAACAATTGACAACTTCTAGAATTTGTTGTTCATCCAATGATTACAAGAATTGAGTCATTAAATTAAATTAGCAAATTGAGTACAAACAATATTACTCTTTTTCCCATAGACTAAATTGAAGCAAAATAGTTGAGATATATTATAACTAGAATGATCTAAAAGCATAAATGATCGTGACAATTTTCCAACGATACAACGAAGATGAAGACTTCTATCTTTCAAGTCCACCATTGGCCGTGGCAGGTGACAACGACGAAGACTTCTATCTTTCCCTTCCCTTCAAAGACTTTCTAATATATTTTTCGTATATTTATTGACCTACACACGGCATTTGGGCACCGGACTGGACTATTTGATGGGATATCCCGCATTCATTTTGACACCATTTGACTCTACTATTACAGTTAGAAAAGGATTACTACGCGAAACGAAACTCATCAGAGGTGTGGCATTATTAGATATGTGTGACACTGTTTTCGGGAAGATGTATGCCACTGTTGATAATACATATATCTCCATTTAATAATAAATTAGTATATAACAGTGTAAACCTTAATGAACAATAAGTAGTCCATTGATGTAATTTAACAATTAACGCATATAAATTAGTGTAGTTCAATTTATCTGTTTATTATTGATTGAGATATCACGTGACAATCTTCCCGCCACGCCTAAACTTTTGTCGTGGTCTTTGGGTTAGTGTATTCCAGTAGTCGGGAAATTATACTATGACCAATTTTCAGTTCTTCCCCTACATTGGATTTGGACCGGATGGAATACCTTTTACTTGTTTTATTTATTTATATGGATTGGAGATTATCTTTGTAGCTTGATCCAGTAACACCAGACCTAGAATATCAAAAGGTTTGTAGAAAGAGAACCCACCAACCTATTTCATTGGATGTTTTAGGGTAGGATCATGCTAAATTCTACCAACTTTTGAAAATAGGAAGGCAAGTTAGCCACTAATTCTGTGTTGGGCATGTGACTTAAATACTCAGTCCTCCCTAAACTTTTTAACCGATTCTCCTCATTTCGGTTGCTAATGCAGAGCTTTGCTTACACGGTGGTGGTGATGAAAAAATGTGATGTCTACAACTTTGAGGTCGTGGCATTGGAAACAATCATGGAAAGGCATCCAGGAGAGCTACTCTCATTGTTATCAATATTGCTATCGTTCTCATCCTTGTATAATGCTAAATGATGTGTTGGACCCCCACCTCTCACCACCAGCAAATCCACTGGTTGCACATGATTTTGTGCTTGTTGCTACGTTGGCTTTTGCATGCTTGCGTTTTGAACTGAAAATCCATCCAAGAATTTTTGTCTCGAAAGAGACCGCTAGTCCAACCTCTCTGCATATGGTTTCTCTATGGCAGTTAAGGAATTGAGAGAGAAAATTTTCAAACTGAATTGAATTAAAATCAAGGGAATGTATGTACTTGTATTGGAATTATTTTCTTCCAATACTATATGATCAGACTATAGTACGAAAAATAAAATATGGAGTAGATAAAAGTGTTTCGAGGGTACTGATATTTTGTAAGAGTCAATTAATTTCTAATAATGTTTATGATCCCCATATAGAGGTCACCTATGGGTAAAAGAAGGAATTACTGCCATTGAAAAAAGGCAAAGTTGTACACACTAAATAATTTATCAAAAAAAAATGTTGAGTGTAGCAGTATCCATTCATCGAAAAAAAGTGTGCTTTAATACCTAGAGAATTAAGAGGAGCCAAACCCCTAGAATGATCACACAATCATGATAATCAATCTTATATATTCTCGAATCAAATTTTTAAAACTTATATGGGGTATTTGGATAATGGGACAGAGAGAATTAAAACATGTCAGATTGAACAAAATTGAGCTAAGTCCCCTTTAGCGCATGTTTGAGAAGCAAAAATGGTGCTAGGATATTTTATTTGGGTCTATCTATCCATGGCCAAATTTGAACAAGAGTTTTCTCTAAAGATCAAAAATAAACTCAATAGAACTTAGATAAAAAATAAGTTTATAATAGTCTGAATTGAAGTGTGAGATGAACACTATCATAAAAAGAGATTCGCCTCTTCTGCACAGAATTTTTCGACGTTCTTTTTTCAAGATACAATAATCCGAGAGAAGTTACAGTGTAAGTGGGAACCTCTCTATATAACAAACTGATCACACCCAAGTTATTTACAAAACACACTAAAAGTAGTAAAAAATGAAGGAGAATATGTATAGCGGAAGTTGTCTCTCAATCCAAAAGGAAGATAAAACACGTCTATTTATATATTAATGGATAGCTATTATCCTTTACAGCTATATGAATATCTGGGATATATGGCATCAATGGCTATATGAGATATATAGCATTAACGACTATATGGGATATATAGCATCAACGGCTAGTGCCTCATGTAACTCCAATGCATATAATGGTTAGTTAAGGCTAGAATATACAACATCTATATATTTGTATTAATGGGTAATAAAATGATATATGTAGTTATTACATATAACTCTCCCTAAAGAATTCCAACAATCAAAAATTAAAATCATATTCATAAAATAAATGTGAGGCTGAAATTATTAAAATGAATAAAAATAAATAAATTTAATTTTAAATCATACATACTAACAGATACATGGGTAAATTCAAATAAGAAAGCTTTTAAATCATGAGATAATCCATGGAACTCACATAAATTAAAACATATTTGTCAAATATGAGATTGGTTTGGATTGTACCATTTTTCTAGCTAATACAACCTGTTGTACTGAATAGGATTGGATCGAAAAGGATAAAAAAAAAACTCCAATCACTACAAGAAAAAAGGATTTTTACGGCAGTAAAGTGTTGTTATAAAAGATCTATTTGTCATCACAATACTTTTTGCGACGGCATTGCCTCACCATAATAAGTGTGGTCTCAAAAGATTTGTACGACAACAATAGTTTGTCTCAAATAATATTTACGACAGCAAGATCCTGACGTAAATAAGTTGTCACAAAAAATTCGACTCTCTTGCTTTTATCATGGTGGCAAAAGTCCTGCCTCAAATATCATATTTGACTGTCGTAAAAAATAGAAGATATATTTTATGAAGGCAACGATGCTGCCACAAAAAAAACAAAATTTTTTTTAATTATTATGGACCGTTGGTAACCAATGTTATATACCTTATACATATATACACTTCGTAGTACCATTAGACCAAAGACTCATTAGTATCCATACAACTACCCAATTTAATATATAAATAAACACAAAAGTAAATGTAATCAATATTTCTAAAAATATAGCAATATTTTCATATAAAAAAAAAACAATCCTACAAGTTAATCAAACTGTAAAATATGTACTTTTATAAAACATAACGATATATGAGTACAAGAAATTATTGCAAAAATTTGAACATCCTTCTCAAACCATCTACTCTCTCAGTGACATTTGAAAAAAATATAAAATTATTGTTATTATACTAAAATAGTATTTATATACATATATACAACAAAGAACTAAACGAAGTTAGTATATACATCAATAGAGGGCCACACAATATTTCTTTGAACGACTTGTCTAATTATGTAAATGGTATACAAACAAGTCATATCGTATTCATTTATTCTAATTAGTTTCACCAATACCTGATTTATTTATAATCGTATCGTGACGAGTCCACTCGTTTACTAAACAGATTGCTTAAGGAATATTCAAACTCACTAATTTTATGTTGTGTTAACGGGTCGTGTCATATTTTGACACCCCTAATTTTGATATAAAAACTTAACTCTGTGGAGTTTAATTTTTTTTTCTTTGAACTAGAAATTGTCTTTTGATGTTAAACTACGTAATTTTATAAAATATTACTTGCAACATTAAAAATTGTTGTGACCAATACAAAATTTTTTTAGAGTTTTCTTTTTTAAACTATAAACTTTTTTTAATCTAAAATAATATTTTAATATTTTATGAAATATTATATACGACAGGAAAAATATTTGCCATAACTATAAAAAATTCTTTCGAATGTATAAAATATTATTTGTGACAGCAAAAACAGCTATCTCAAATACAAAAATTTCTTTTAAGTTTATGACATTATTTACGGTAGAAAAAATAGTTACCACAAACACGTTTTTTGTGACAGCAAACATAACCGCCACAAAAAAATTGTCTCAAATATATCTTTTGAGACGGCGAACACAGCCGCCGTAAAAAATTTGTCACAAAAAACCCTTATTCTTGTAGTGAATTATATGCATTCCCACCTGACCATCCAAACACCACCATAAGGGATCAGTTTTATACAAATAGAACACTAGAATCCTGCATCAACCACACCATTAATAGCCATTTTATTATAGGTTTTTCAGTTGTGAGTACAATTTTTTAGACTTATTTAGGCAAAAGTGTATGGATAAATTGTTTATTCTATTAAGTATAATTTTTTAAAAAAAAATTGTGTTTAGGTACAAAATTAAAATGAATTAAAATCCTTTTTACTTAAACACCCTTCCTTAATTTATGCAGTCATCATTGACAGTTATTTGAAGAAACAAATATATAAAGATTACATGTTTTTTATCTTTAATTTTTAAATTTTGAATGAGCAGTTTTGTATGCAGTAAAAGTCTGTGTTCAATTGATCTTTGTAGTAAGACAAAAAGTTTATGCAGTAACACAAAAAGTCTTCAAACGTCTCTGCAATTTGTTAAAAAAAAAAAACTGATCTTTGCAGTAAGAGTCTTCTTCAACGTCTGTGTTCATCTGATCTCGGTAGTAAGAGTCTTATTCAACGGTCGACTTACTTCTCCGGTGGTGAATTTATTCGAAAAAAGGAACTGCAAATACCAATCACCGTCATCAGCTTAAAGATTAGTTCTTAATAATTATATTTCTTCTTTTATTTTGTCATTTTTTTTGGGGAAATTTCTATGTTCGATTTTGTTTTATGTTTGTTCGTTGTTTAAAAAAAGGGAAAAAAAAACTGCATTTGGTTTTAATGGGTGTAACTGTTTTTAATGGGTATAACTATTTTTTCTTATATAAATAATAAATATATTTCTTCTTTTATTCGGTCATTTTTCTTTGGAAATGATTATGTTTCATTTTGTTTTATGTTTGTTCGTTGTTGGAATGAAGGGGAAAAAAATTACTTTTGGTTTTAATGGGTGTAATTGTTTTTAATGGATATAACTATTTTTTCATATAGACAGAATAAGTTTATTTCTTCTTTTGTTCGGTCATTTTTTTTGAAAAATTCCTATGTTCGATTTTGTTTTATGTTTGCTCAGTGTTGGAATAAAGGAAAAAAAATTGATTTTGTTTTAATGAGTGTCACTGTGTTTTAATGGATGTAACTGTGTTTTAATTAGTGTAACTGTGTCAATACAGTTTCAACAATTAATTTTTGAATATTAACAGTTTGCAATTTCTGATCACAAATAGTTACTTAAAACAGTTACGTAACTATTTTTAATCAAACAACATAAGTTGTGGAAAAAAAAATTAACGAATGACAAAAAAAACAAAAATGAATGTCACTTGCAATTCTGGTGAAGAAGTTGTCGAAGATAATTCACAGTTACTTGACTGTAGGACACGATGAACAGTAAGTCGTATTCTTCTTTTTTTTGGACGATAAACAGTAACTCGGATTCTTGCTTTTTTTTTTTATGCTAAACAGTACTACGTATTCCTCTTTTTTTTTTGGACGATTAACGGTAACTCGATTTCTTTGTTTTTTTGAACGATGAACAGTAACAGTTCTGACATTCCAATCCCTTTGCTGAAGAAGATGAATTTTGATAATTAAACTCCTTATTTTACCTCCCACTTGATTTTAGCCAAAAAAAAAAAACGGATGAAAGATAATGGGTTTCCATATATTTACTGTTTACCGATGATAAAAGTGATATTTTAAAAAAATGTGCACTTTACCTAAAATAAGTTATTGAGTTATATTTTTGTCTAAATAAATTTAAAAAATTGTACCGAGTTCTAAATTGCCCTTTATTGTAAGTGGAATGGTTCGAAAGCATATATGATCGTGACAATTGCACCACTTCCTATCATCTCATTCAAGTCCTCCATTGCCAGGGGACAACGACGAAGACTTTTATCTTTCCTTCGCCGTGGTCTTTGGGGTTTAGTGTATTCCTGTAGACGGGAAGTAGTGTAATTTATTTTATTCATTTGTTGTTCAATAATAGCATCACATGACAATTCTAACATATTTTCATCATTATATAATACATTTTATTGTTTAATAATTATTTCGTGTCGAGTCTACTTGTTTATGAAATGAGTGACTTAAGGAAGACTTTAATCCTCTAATTTTGTGTTATTTTAATGGATCGTGTCATATTTTAACATTCATATATACTTTTTTTTCATAAGAGATACCACGTCAATGTCATTACTTAATATTACTATCTCATGATAAATTAGCAAATGAGTGAATGAATTCTATATAAAATTATAATTAACTCATTTGTTTAATCTATTAACTACCACTCGTGAGTTACTGTAATTTGTTTCATTAATTTAATAATTTATTATTAAATAATAATATCACGAGATAAATGCTGATCTAATTTCACTATTATATAAAATAATTTCTCTTCTCGCTAGGCAGGCCTTAACATTTCCGTGGTCCGTGGGTTGGCGTATTCCAATAAACTAGAAATTACAATTTGGATGAACTATGTAAGTCTTGGTCAAGCTAAAAACTGCAGAAGACTAGCTAGTATACTTATAAAATTCTTTGGTTTTGATCATCATACTGTATAGCTAGGCATGTGTATGCACATTGCAGCAAACAGACTTGATCGATCTTTATTTCTCTCATAAAAATGAAGTTACTTATTGATTCTCTTTTTGCTGGAACAGTTGCATTAACATGGGTGGCTGCTGTTAGTATTACTCTTTTAATGGCCACATCTACTGTATCATCATCCTCGTCGACAACAGAGGGAGAGACTCTATTCAACATCGGCTGGTGGAGGGACACTGGTAAAACAAATCACTGCGATTGGTACGGTGTTGTTTGCAATGCACAAGGACTTGTCATTAAGATAGACAGTTTCCATGGTTCGTTCAATGTAACACGAGAAGGAAATGTGCTCAGGGATTTGAAAAGTTTGAACTTGTCTTCCTTTCCACATCTTGAATATCTCGATCTCGCCAACACCAATCTCCGTGGAAGCTTACCCACCCAAATTGGTTCACTTACAAAACTTACCCACCTTTATCTCCCTTGCAATGATCTTACAGGTGAGTTACCTCTATCCTTGGCTAACCTCACCCAATTGGTCGAACTTGACCTGTCATACAATCACATTAGTGGCCCAATCCCATCATCTGTAGGTCATTTGACCAATCTTGCATATCTTCGCCTCTCTTCAAATCAAATCAATGGCTTCATTCCTCTAGAACTATGTCATTTACAGAGTTTGGTTCACATGGATCTAGAGAGTAATAACCTATTCGGACCAATGCCTTCTTGTTTGGGGAATTTAACCAATCTTTTCAATTTGGATCTGAGGTATAACAATCTCAGTGGCCAAATTCCTTTGTCTGTAGCTAATTTGACTAAACTCAACTCTTTGTACCTTGGTTCGAATCATATCTACGGTTCAATACCACCCAACATTGATTGGTTGAAGAAACTACGCTATTTGAGGGTTGTGGATCTCCATCACAACTATTTTTCTGGTCCAATTCCTTCATTTATAGGTAATTTGTCAAGCCTTGAAACTATTGATTTGTCGACAAATCGAATCTATGGCTCAATACCTCTTGCACTTGGCAATCTACCCAACCTTACATACTTAGACCTCTCTCAGAATTTGCTGAATGGGTCTATCCCAAACGACTTATACAAATGCTATCATTTGAGATACTTATCAGCGAGCAGCAATTATTTGAGTGGAAGTATACCTGCTAAACTAGCACGCTCTTTGTCAGGACTATCCTACTTGAATCTATCCCACACTAATCTTTATGGCACAATTGATTTTCCATGTTGCTCATGCTCGCTTGATTTGTCAAACACCGGTGTCGTGTCTAACTCAACTTGTAAACTAATCAACAAGAAACCATCCTCACACTTCCTTGAGATTTTCCTTCCAATTGCCAGTTTACTTCCACTTGTCCTTGTCTTCGTGTCACTTGGATTTGTTTACTTTGGTCGAAAAATGCCCAAGAAAAACCCAAGTGAGTCAAGGACAATGAAGAATGGTGACATGTGCTCGATATGGAATTACGATGGAACCATTGCATATGAGGATATCATCAAAGCAACAAATGACTTTGACATCGAATATTGCATTGGAACGGGTGGATATGGCAGCGTTTACAAAGCCCAGTTGCCCAACGGCCATTTATTTGCCCTGAAAAAACTTCATCACCGGGAAGCTGAGGAGCCAGCTTTCGACGAGAGTTTCAGAAACGAGGTACAGGTGCTAACAAATCTACGACATAGAAACATTGTGAAGCTCTACGGGTTTTGCTTACACAATCATTGCATGTTCTTGGTTTATGAGTACATGGAAAAGGGAAGCTTATTCTGTGCTCTACGATATGATGACGAAGCTATAGAATTGAGTTGGGCTGCGAGGGTGAATATTATCAAGGGCATTGCACATGCCTTATCTTATATGCATCATGATTGCATGACACCGATTGTTCATCGAGACATATCAAGCAACAACATTCTATTAAATTCAAAACTAGAGGCTTTTGTGTCTGATTTTGGCACTGCTAGACTATTAAATCCTCATTCTTCCAATCAAACTGTAGTTGCAGGCACTGTTGGATATATCGCTCCAGGTAAATTGTTGTTATTTTACAAGCGATGACATGTTTACCTGCACTGTTGGATATGTTGCTTTGCTTCAGGTAAATTGTTATTATTTTACAAGTCTCATGTCTCACTTTTTCTTTAAACAAAGAATTATAACTTCTCTTTGTAGTGTGATCTAATAACACTAGACAGGGGCGGATTCACAGTGAGGGCAGTGGGGGCAGCCGCCCCCACTGAAATTTTAAAAATTTTTGGGGTCTAAGTGTAATTTTAAAAAATTTAAAATTTATTAGATATTTACCCCACTGAATTTTTTTTAAAAGATTTAAGGATAGTTATGTTATGTTGACACATATATGAGTATCACTTGTAAATATCAATAAAAGATGATATCAAAAATTTGGACATTTAAAGATTAACTAATATGTTACGAAATAGGTTAGCCATTTCATTTGTTTTTTGTTTATACATCGAACTAAATTTAGGGTTTGTAATCATCTTCTTTATTTTATGTTTATATGTTAAAATTGAAAATTAGGGTTTGTAGCCTTTTTTTGTGGTTTATTTTTTAAATGTTGAATTGAAATTAGCGCTTGTAACTCTCTGTTGTATTTTATTTGTTACATGTTGAATTAAAAATATAAAATTAGGGCTTGTAATAATTTCTTATATTTTATTTTTTATATATTGAATTGAAACTAGGATTTGTAGTCTCGTATTTATTTTTTTATTTTGAAATAAAATTGGGGCTTGTAGTCCTCTTCTATGATTTATTTTTTTATATATTTAATTGATATTTGAGTTTGTAATCCTCTCTAGTATTTTATTTTTATATGTTGAATTGGAATTAGGACTTGTGGTCGTCTCATTTGTTTTATTTTTATTTGTAAAATTGGAATTAGGACTTGTAGTCCTCCATTATAATTAGACTAAATTATTTTGATTTGGTAATTTGAACAGTTTTATTGTGATAAGTTAAGTGCTTCATATACCTAGGTTTGGTTTACAAGAATAATTATAGTTTAAGTTAGTTTCGATTGTTTGTTAAAATTTAATGAGGAATATTAAGTTTGTGATTGAACAAATTAATTTTTGAATTAGTTATGAAAATTTTTCTTAAAATTTAATATATGATTGAACACAATTTTGCGGTTCAAAATTTTTTTGTTAGGTCTTATAGATAAATCTATAATGAGACTTTTTTTGTTGGCTCATTTTGTATATCGTTCATGTATATGAATTACGTCTTTAATTGGTGTTCTATTAATAAAATTATATTTTTATGAATATTTTAAATTTTAATATTAATATAGTTTAAGTTGCCCCCACTAAAAAATATCTCAGGCTCTACCCCCGACACTAGACCAAGAACATCAAAAGATTTGTACAAAAAGAGAACCCACCAACCAACTTCATTCGATGTTCTCGGGTAAGATCATGCTTAATTCGACTAACTTTTTAAAATAAGAAGGCAAGTTTGTATATGTTTTTCATTAATAAAAATAACATTTGTATCCTTACGCCTATTTAATTTCTCTCCTTTTCTCCCTCTCTAAAGTACTTCAATCTTTTTCTTTCTTTTCTTTCTATGCATTAATTATATTTTTTTCAACTTCTAGAAAAATTTTAGGAAAAAGACTAAGAAAAATAATAAAGTCTATTATTTTCTTTTTAATCTAAATTGTTAATTAGTTGGCTATTGAAAGTGAAATTTAGGATCCCAAAATATAGGCAAGGTAAAGTAGTTTCGTTAATATTGAGGATGTTTCTCTCAAATAGTTTCTATTGCTATCATTTAAAATAAAATGATTATAAACTTTTTTAATCGATTTTGGCCATCTTGGTTAGTAATGCAGAGCTCGCTTATACCATGGTGGTGACTGAAAAATGTGATGTCTACAGCTTTGGGGTCGTGGCATTGGAAACAATCTTGGGAAGGCATCCAGGAGAGCTACTCTCAACACTATCCTCTATGTCCTCGTCCTCCTCTGCTCAGCATATAATGCTAAATGATGTGTTGGACCCCCGCCTCTCACCACCAGCAGATCCAATGGTTGCACAAGATATTGTGTTTGTTGCTACGTTGGCTTTTCAATGCTTGCGTTCTGAACCGAATACCCGTCCGACAATGCAGAGAATATCTCAAGAATTTCTTTCTCACAAGAGACCGCTAGCCAAACCTCTGCATATGGTTCCCCTATGGCAGCTAAGGAATTCAGAGACAAAATTTCGCAACTGAATTGAATTACTATGAAGCAAAGTTATGTACATGTATTTGAATTATTTTCTTCTAATACTATATGATCAGACTATAGTATGAAAAATAAAATATGAACTAAATAAAAGTGATTTGAGGTTACTAATATTTTTTAGGAGTTCTTTATTTTCTAATAATGTTTATGATCGCCGTATGGAGGTCACCTAATGATGAAAGAAGGCATTATGGCAACTGAAAATCATTATTTTCTAAAAATGTTTATGATCCCCATATGGAGGTCACCTAATGATGAAAGAAGGCATTATGGCAACTGAAAAAAGGTAATGATTTACGTACCAAATAATTTATAATTTTTTATTTTGAATAGATGATTAGATCAACGAGTCTTATTAGAAAAAGTTAATAGAACCCATTAAACTAATGATCCAAATTAATTAAGCAAGCAAAATTTAGTAAATATTTTAATAAGTTTAGCAGTATATGATGGGTCACGCCCAAAATGACTCAATCTACAAAGTCCAAATTTCAATTGAGAAACCCAACATAGCTAAAGACCAGTCAGACTCTTTGCTTAGCCACGTTATCAAGGGGGAGAGCATGGGAAGCCTTACCTGAACCGCCATAGGAAACGGTCTACCCTCACCATATCCTTGACTGCGTCTCATGGAAGCCTCTCAACCACCTCACCCGTTGAGAAGAAGTCATGAAACTCCACCGAAATAGTTGCTCAGTTGCTGTAAAATAGCCCCAACCTGTTAAGGACCACTATAAATTGCACGCCCCACCAACACTTGGGGAGACCACACTGATTACCTGTGCGTCACACTTTCCCTGAGCACGACTCTCTCATCTCCCTCAAAACTTGTACTCTCTGTTCTCCACACTCTTAAATTAATAAAATACCCAACAACTAAAACCATTCAAGAGTGGACGTAGGTTGAGTTGACCGAACCACTATAAATTGCTTGTGTCTCTCCATCTCCTTATATTATTTCTTGCATTTATTATTTACACTTGACAGGTGGTGTGCAAAACCATTTTGTGCATCATCAGTTTGGCGCCGTCTGTGGGAAAAAGACAAAATTCTCACTCCTGAACATTCCATCCATTGAACCAATGGCGACCACTGCCCAATCCATGAACCAACACGAAGACAGTCCACCACGAGAGGAGGAGGTTGCTCCTCCACCAGCCAACCCTGTCCCGAATGCTCCAGCTCCGAATCCCCAGCAAATATTGGAGACCATGCAGCAGCTGGTGGCCCAAAACCAACAGTTACTGCAACTCATGCTTACTGGACAAGGAGGAGCACAACATGGAGGACCCTAAAGAGGAGCACAACTCAGAGGTGCACAACATGGAGGACCCCAAGGAGCTCCATGTCCTGGACACTAAGGAGCTCCACGCCCTGCTGCTCCACGCCTAGGCGCCCCCTTGGGTGCCCCACTCAGGGGAGCCCAACATGAGGGAGTTCCACCTCCCTCTCCTCTTGTTTCCCATGGAAAGGACTCTCATCTCCAAGAGGATGAGGGGAAAAACCAAAATATCGAGCATGGAAGTCATGTCCATGATCATTCCAGAGGAGCCCCCAATTATTGGGACGAGAAAATTAAGGAAGTACAAAATCAACTGGGTGATGTCTTCAACGCCATGAAGGCACAGGGACCCGAGACTGTAGATCACCTGGTAAGGCGTACGGATACGCCTTTCAAGCCTGATGTAACGAACTATCCCCTCCCTCAGAAGTTCAGAATGCCATCTGTGGAGACCTTTGATGGAACAAAGGATCCACTAGACCACCTCGACACTTACAAGACTTTGATGCAGTTGCACAACGTACCAGATGAAATCATGTGTAGGACATTCCTAACCACATTGAAGGGGTCTGCCCAACAGTGGTTTGCTAAGCTCTCCCCCGCCTCCATTGCCTCCTTCGTTGAGTTTAGTAGATCATTCGTTTCACATTTTATTGGAGGGCATCGCCATCAGAAGCTTGTTATGCACCTGCTTAGTATAAAGCAGGACCGCGAGGAGAGCCTGAGGAGTTACCTCACTTATTTTAACAAGGAGGTACTCCAAGTTGATGAACCCGACGACAAGGTGACGATGACTGCCTTCTTGGGTGGCCTCTGTTCATCAAGTTTCCTTTTCTCAGTGATGAAGCGCCCATCGAAGAGCATGTCAGAGCTGCTAACCAAGGCCCAAAAGTACATGAATGCGGAAGACATCACAAGGGCCAGGCGAGGTAAGTCCTACAGAGCAGGGGAGAAAAGGAAGAAAAAGGACAGGGACGATAAGAAGGAGACTAGTAACAAGTGTGGCAAAACAAAGAGAGTCTCTGTCAAGGACCGGCTAGGTCCTGCTCCTCAGAGGGACCGTCAACCCTTCACTCCCCTCAATGCTACCGTGGGACACATCCTATTCCAGATCTAGGATGACCCCGCGATAAAGTGGCCTGGGAAAATGAAGTCTCCTCCAAATCGCATAAATCCTAACAAGTATTGTCGTTTCTATCGCGACCACGAGCATGACACCGATAACTGCTACGATCTCAAAAGGCAAATTGAGGAGCTCATCGAGCGTGGTCACCTACGCCAGTATGTTGTTGGAAGGAAACGAGCACCACAACCTCACAATCAAGAAGATCAGCAGCCTGTGGGGGAGATACACACCATCTCAGGAGAATTAACAGGAGGGGGAGAGTCACTTTTTGCAATAAAGGCGCACGCCAGAAAGGTAAGGCATGTCGACGAGACGTGCCCATCTAAGGTGTCGAAGCAGGACAGCGACGAGGTCATATCTTTCTCAGATAAGGACCTAGAGGGAATCCAGCACCC